TGTGAACTGCAAAGAGTAATATGCAAATTAGGCATAATATACATAAATAAATCTAACTCTAATGTAAAGACCTTTAGAGCAAGAATGAAAGTAGACGTTTGGTGTTACAGAAAATTATAATGTTGAAATAACTTTTGTTCGGGAAACGTTATTTAGCGAATATGCAGATAAAAAAACTGCAAATTAGCACAAATGTGCAGCAGACAGTGGATCCACCACATCATTGATTTTTAATTAGTCTTCTAAACAAATAACAGCGAGGAGGAAAAAAGTTGCAGCGGAATTATTGTTGCATATTTCAAAGCAGCCAAAATAACTCCCCGTGACTGAACACGTTCAAGGTGGAGCAGTTATTTCACCTGAACACACTGAGCTCGAGGCTGAGAGCGACTCCGCCCCCTCCACTCCCATCCTGTCGGGAAATGTTCCGAGAGTGTCATCGGAGAGGTTCGTCCAAACTGCGCTCCTGCGCTCCGACTTCGAACCGCGACATCTGGGTTTAAACTGTGAGTATTCACCGACATGTGTAAAGGAGTTGCTCAGATATTAAAGCGAGTTTGTTTCAGTGAGTTTTTAGTGCTTGTTGTCTACTTTGGTTTGCGCTATTGCGCGTTAACTGTTAAAACTGTGTGAAGTGGAAAGGCTGGTTTGACTTGACGGATTGAGACTCCGAACGCAGATGATTGCTAAAGTCAGACGTTTGGCAACTGAAAACACACTGTGTACGCTTTTAGTCTCTTTTCTGCTCGCGTTACACGGATTTGTGTATTTCACTGTCGCCCCAAATCCGTGTAAACACGCAAACGCTCATGACCCAGCTCCTCCACACTTTGTTTCTTCTCCCTTTTTATGCATTTGTGACTCGACTGCGTTTTCTTCTGGTTTCAGACTAGTTCATCCCTCACGTTGGTCTGTTCCACCAACGGCTGCCTCTCTCTTCCATCAGCAGTAAGAGAAGACAGACTGTGAACAAAAGCCATCATGAATTGGGTCGTTCTCCAGGGCCTCCTCAGCGGAGTGAACAAATACTCCACAGCCTTCGGCAGAGTTTGGCTCTCTGTTGTTTTTCTCTTCCGAATTATGGTGTTTGTGGTGGCAGCAGAAAAGGTGTGGGGAGATGAACAGAAAGACTTCACATGCAACACAAATCAGCCCGGCTGCCATAATGTCTGCTTCGACCACTTCTTCCCCGTCTCCCACGTGCGCCTGTGGGCCCTCCAGCTTATCTTCGTCACCTGCCCCTCATTCCTGGTGGTGATGCACGTCGCCTACAGGGAGGACCGAGAACGGAAAAACCAGCTAAAGTATGGCGAGAACTGCAAGCGTCTCTACCCAAACACGGGCAAGAAGCGTGGAGGCCTGTGGTGGACCTATATCCTGACTTTGGTCTTCAAAATAGGCGTGGACGCCACCTTCGTCTTCCTCGTTTACCACATGTACGAGGGCTACAGCTTCCCCAGTCTCATTAAGTGTGCACAGGTTCCCTGCCCCAACACGGTGGATTGCTTCATCTCTCGGCCTACTGAGAAAAGAATCTTCACCATCTTCATGGTGGTCACCAGCTTGGCCTGCATCCTCCTCTCCTTTTTTGAAATCCTCTACCTAGTCGGTAAACGCTGCCATGAGTTTCTCAGCTCAGCCCATCACTCTCGTCAGGTCATCACCCACTCAATGTCCAGCGGAAGCAAACTGATGGAGGCAAACGCACTAAAGTCAGGGGAACAAGGCACCACTGATAAGAAGTCGTACTATGTCGTCGTGTCTTGAGATACTGAAAACATTACACAGACTTTATGAAAAAGACACGGGAAAGCAAAGCTGTCTCTCGCCATTCTACAGAAACTTCCTTAAAAGACTTGACAGAAGATTTTTCTACTTCTCAGAGACTGAACTGCAGTGTAGTTTATTCTATGTGCTTTTAAAAGTTTAAATTCTGCACTCCTCTCTGCTGTAGGGACTTATTTTACGGTTTACATTTCTTTAGCCCTTGCAGAGAATAAAAAACAATATGTGCAAAGCGGTGTCCAACTGAGCCTTGAGATCAAATACATGAGTCACTCGCTGGTTTGGCGAGTAAGGTTTTACAAACACATGTGGTTTGTGTGTAAGATTTTCCCTCTGCTCTTGCCCAGACTCAAGATGATTGGTTCAAAGTGTGTGCAGTCTTTCCCTCTGACTCAGACTCGTGTGTTAGACT